GAGAGAGATGAGCTTGAGAGACATATATGGGACCTACACCACGCAGACATTGACAAATACATTAGTCGGTTTTGACTAGGTCAAAGGGCAGCCCACATATGTGCCACAAGTTCTCCCTCAATCATCTCCAAAATTTTGGGCCTCCCCACTTTGGGAATTCTGCTCATGGGTTCAATTCTTTCTTTTTCTTCGAATTCATCAATCATCCACCCCGACTTCCTCAATTGCCTTGCTCAATGATCTTATTGTCCAACGATGAAACTGACTCTACATCAAGCTTTACTGTCCTTGTCCGGATAAAGCAGTAGTATTGCTTGTGCTGTTCATGATCGTGACCTACTTAGGAAACGGATGTCTAAATTAACATTGGTAATCATGCTTTTCATATTCCAAAGGTATGCACACAATATTTGGCAATGATGAATGACGATGATTAAATAGCTCTTTTGGCGTCCTCAAAGATCGAGCACTTCAAAACTCGCTAATGTGGTACCCTATATGATACGATGTGGGGCGGTTAGCCCACACATGTTGAGGAAGACGAGGTAGTATTCTTCCACAATGACATGACCAAAATATTAGTGACTATATTTTACCACATTGTTGTATGAATGAGATTCTAATCACTGTTACCACATTGTTACATTCAAAGGATGACACTCCCTCTCAATTGCATTTTTATAGAATTCTCGAGTCCTCAACACAAACTTCCCAACCTGCTGCTACATATTTGAAATACATATCAAAATTTACGGTAACCAATACATTTTGAGATAAATCTTTTTTTTTTGGGTAATTCAATGAGATGACGGGCTCTACCCATTTTTTAATTAATTAATGGTTTTTAAAATTGTCAGTGAAAATGAAACTCGCAACGTGTAATTAAGACAGTGAGACATGGGGTGTGTTACCCCAGATGCTCATTGACCGCCCCAATAAAATCCTTGCAAGGCAATGTCAATTACTTAATTCCTGTAACTATGGACAAGTGTTCTTTTGGAAAAACGGGTTGAACTTTGGACTTGGGGAGATGGAACTATGTACTCCACCTGTTGAGAGGAGCATAAGTATGTGGCTAAGATCAATATTTCATTCATAATTCTATTAAAATATTAGCGAATTGAGTAGCTAGAATGCTGGAATTCAATGTGAACCACCCTGTGACGTTCATCTTGGACAACTGTGTACAAGAAAATGGCCACGTAGTTGGTGAGACTCACCATATAACCATGAAATTCCCATAAAAAGAAGAAAACATCTTTTAGTCTTCCCAATGAAAGTACTTAGGGCCTTGACCTTTTACTCTTTCAAAGAAAGAAAGAAAAAATTATAGATATTTTTGAAATACACTTTGTAGATACCCCAATACTTTTCATATCATACCCTTAACTCAATTATTGTTTTTTTTTGCTTTTAACCCCAGTTAAAAAGTTAATACATTAGGAAAATTCTGATCTGATTTGCAATATTGGGCGGCATGGTTGGGCTGTGAACTAAAAACACTCCCTTCTAAATATCTTGGAGTGCCTTTGGCAGATGGTTGTCTGTCCCTATCAGCTTGGGACCCTTTAGTGGAAAGATTTGAGTATGAACTTGATGGGTGGAAGAGTAGATGCCTGTCTTTTGGGGGTAGTAATACTCTTATTAACTCCACTTTAGCCAATTCACTAGTGTACTTTCTATCCATGTTCAGAGCACCGGCAGCAGTAACCAAAAGTTGGAATCTCTGATGCATAATTTTCTTTAAAGTAGTTCTCCAATACCTAAAAAGTATAATTTGGTTTGATGGGAGAAGGTGTGCAGACCCAAGAAAGAGGGCGGCATATGCCTATGAATGATGCCTTGCTTAATAAATGGTGGTAGAGACTCTCTATACAGCCACGAACACAGTGGCAAGATGTCATTTTTGCTAAATATGGAACTGATGAGAATTGACTTATTCGTAAGAAACTTAGCACCAATAGATTAGCTTCCTTAATGTGGAAAGGGATTAACTCAGTGCGATCCTTGTTTTTGGTTTATAGTTGGATGAAGGTTAGGAATGGAGCGAATACCAAATTTTGGATCAGCAAGTGGTTAGGACATATACCCTTTCGTTATCAATTTCCAAAAGTATATCGATGGGCTGCTGCAAAACATGCCATGATCTCAAAGATGGTAGTTGATGAAGGTCCCAACGTGAATGGAAGGTCAAACTTTTGATCAGGAAAGTGGACAAAGCCACAGAACATCAATTTACTGCCTTGCTCCATAAGCTTAATGCCTTTTGCTTCTTCTCTCATAGAAATGATTTTTTGGATTGGGAACTTAATCCTAATGGCCTTCTTTATATGGTGAGGTAAGCAATGACATGATTTTTTTATGCAAGCAACAAAAATACAAAAGTCTGGTCATTTAAATTCCCAAAGGGTTCAAGCATTTTTATGGATTTTGGAGCAAGCAAGGGTGCCCACAGGAGATCATTTAAGAAGAAGAGGAAAGATATTGGTAAATGTTTGTTTCCTCTATTTGAGTGCTGATGAAGATTGCCATCACTTATTCTTGCACTGCCCTTTTGCAACCTTTATTTGGAGATCTGTAGCAAGCTTGTCAAGGTGGCATTCGATCATGCCTAGTCATATTCAACATTTTTTTGCTCAAGTGCCGAATCCACATTTCCCTAAATCAGGCATTCGACTATAACACATTCTCATTGCTGATGTTGCGTTTATGAAAAGAAAGAAATCAGAGGATTTTTTAGGGGATTAAGTGTAATGTGCATGTCATACTTAAGAGGGTTCTGCAGCTTACAGTCATTGCGCTCAAGCTTTTCTGTGCTACAAAGACTACCCCAAAGAAGCTTTCCTTACCAATTTGGGGGACATGCTTTTTCACAACCAGGTCAAAAACATCAAACCTTCCATTTGGATATCCCCTCCTACTGGATGACTTCAGCTAAACTTCAATGGTTGAGACACCATTCTTCCAAGGCAGGTTTTGGGGGGTTGCTCAGAAACTTTGAATGTATCACCATTTTCTCCGTTTTTGGGGAGTTGCATTTCTGTGACATCAATGAAGCTTGAGCTTAGAGCGATTAAAGAGGGGGTTTCTTGGCTTTCAGTGGAACATAATCATATCATTCATTGAAGGGGATTCGACTAATGTTATTTGATGTGTTCTCATCCCTCTTCAATCCCGTGGGAATGGACCTCTATCATGGATGAAATTACCTTGATCTTAGCTGCTAAGGAGGTTTGGTTCTTGTACATCAATCGAGAGAGAAATGGCGATGCTGATGCTTTGGCTAAATTAGGTTCTTCGTAGTTCTCTCTCTCCATCAATCGAGAGAGAAATGGCGATGCTGATGCTTTGGCTAAATTAGGTTCTTCATAATTCTCTCTCTCCTCTCCTCTGATCCTCTTTCTCCTCTTCTTATTTTTCTTTTTCTCTTTTTTTTTGCTTTTGTTCATTTTCTCTTGTAAACTCTTATTCACTCAATGAAAGCTTACTGTTAACGTTTAAAAAATAAAAAATAAAAAAAGGAAAATGTTTATAGAAGTACGAGGCTCTAAAAAAATCAAATTAAAGCGCACATAAAAAATTCATTAAAAAAGGTTGTTTCGATGCTGAAAAACCCTCGACTCTATCATCTTAACCTCAAGACATGGACATGAGAAAATAAAGTTTTCAAGTATTGAAAATAGTATATCTATACTATATTATCTAGACCATCAATTTTCAAGATTTTCAAGTGTTCATAGATATGCTCGATCTACACTATTTTGAATTTTATATTTTATTATTAGAGATAAAAATAAGTTTTCATGGCATGATAAGTATTTCTAATATTAAAACAACATATTTTGACACTATTTAAAGGTGCACCCCATTTTGATTGTTTAGAATCTCGGCCTTATACAAACTACACCCAACACATTAATGACTAAACTACTATTTCAATCCTCTCTCTTTCTCTCTCTTCCCCCCACCTAATGTCTTTTTTTATAGGAATTCTAATACTTTATTAGAAGGAAATCAGAAAGAAATCACAGTATCATAGACAATAGCCTTTGGTAAAGAAATGCCCCCCCTGCCAAGATAATCAGCCAACACATTGGCTTCCCAATATACATGCACAAAAGAAAAGGAAAAGGGTCTTGATAAGTCCAAGATCTGCAACAACATAGACTTAAGCTCCCAAGGCGTCTTCTGTTTCCCTTTGCACCATTAATGACATTTAGGGAATCACCTTCAATAACACATAATGAGCCTAAATTCTTAGCCACAAAAATTTTCAAACCATGAAGTAGAGCCAGGAATTCAGCATGATTAGTAGTTTTCTCTCGAAGTGGGCCTGCATAAGTAAAGATAATATTACCTTCCTAGTCCCTTACCACTCCACCTAAACCAGCTAATCCAGGGTTTCCCC